ACAACCTTTCGAATTTTCTCTTTTTTTGCCATTTTTGGTGTCGGAGAGGAGCTCAAGTGGTAGAGCAGCGGCGTATTTAGCCGAAGGCCATGGATTCAGAACCCGCTCGTGGCACTAGCTTTTCATTTCAACCAAAACCTTACAAAACCGATTAAATAATTGAAATAAGTAATTTGGTCAATAGAATATAATGAATAAATAAGACGCTTCATCCATCCTTAAATAGTTCCTCTAATCAGCGGGTTCAAGGGAAATTTCTTTCATCAAATTGATGTGGGTATTACGGCTTCTGTTCGGGAGCCTCTCTTACACCATTTTCTCTTCGATTTTTTGCTTTTAATATGTAAATAAACAGAAGAGTAGCAAAAGAAATCGTCATCCGTTTTGAGAAGGTAATTCACTGGTTAACGTTCGGAGCGACTGCCTGTGGAGCGGTCGTGAATGCCCCTCAAATTTCAGGCACTCCAAATGGAGCTGTACGGCTTGGCGCGGTTCCATTTGGAGTGATCGTGAATGGCCACCTTATGGTGGCTGTGGTCTCGCATTGACATGACGCCGATACTGATAGTCTCAAACCGATGGAGATAAGCCAAGAACCTTCCATGTCCTCCATGGTTGAGTTAATCTCCATTCCTTCATTGCGGTTTCATTTAGTATCGCTTTAAAAAATAATTTTGGGAGGCTTCTGAATGTTGAATCTGTTTTCTCGTCATTGATGCATCTTTTGCTTCTTGAACAGCTTTCTCATTTCAGGATATTCCTACGTGAGCTTTTACCCAAAAAAAGACACATGACCTCCAAGTCTTACCATCTCCACAATTCTTCAATTAGTTGGTCGTTATATTTTGGATTCTTTAGGACATCTATTGTTACCTTGCTGACAGTGAAGAACGAATAATTTAATGTGGGATTGTCAGCGATCAGGAGTCCATATCTCTCTCCAGGTTTTGACTACTGCTAATCCCTCGGCTTGATTATTGGAACAAAACCGCCCAAACGAAATTGTCGAACCGTTTCCAGAGATCTGTTCACGTAAACTACGAACGCTAATCCAACATTACTGCCTTCAGAAAAAACTTTATTACAACATTAAGTCATAAAACGTTAATAATCACTTAATAGCTAATGCAGCAACACCAACAAAAAAAGAGACATGTCTTTGTCCCACTCTCACCAGAATCTACGTTCAATCTTTTGCATTAATATCGTTTATAGGCGATTTTAACAATCTCTTTCTTCTGAGACGATATATGTTACCTTATCAATTGATAATCAATACAATAATTTAATAAAAATGAATTTTTCATTTTGAAAGATACAAAGCGCACAAAGTGGAACTAACGGACTAAAGCCCGAGAAATACCGACGCGTAGGCATTTATTCATAGCACTATTGGCTAATTTATAAATTGGCAAGATAACATGACAGCGTACACCTCAACAGAGTCCCCAGGGGGCTAAAGCACAACTCGTCCCCTATATAGTCAATGGCTTTAATTTCTGGACATTTCGCTCGTTAACATTTGCGCTATATTTCCTTGTTATTTATTTGCTTGTAATTATAATTACACATTCGTCGCAAATTCGGAAAATTAGGCAACTGAGTTTCATTACCGTTTAATCACAATAAATTGTCATTACGTGAAAAATAATACTCGGCCGTTTTGAAGCAGGTAAAAACGTTTCTTCTTTTAAATAAACGTAAACTTATTTCGCACACAATCAACTAATCGAAAAAATATATTATTGTACTATTACAAAATTCCCTCTAGAAAATTAATGGTAATTCACGAATACCCTGGAATGCCGAGATCCAGAATCTCGGTATGATCTGGATGAAAGAACAAATTGAATTATTGAATTATCCACCTGTTTTAAAGTCATCATCTAACTAATCTAAAACTATAGTAATGTTGTTTACAAGTTGATATAATAAAGTTTTTAATAAATGGTTGCAAATTTCTTTGAATCTAGACAGTCCCAACTTTGCCGTTCAGTGAAGATCAGTTCACTCTATCTAGGCACAAATCGGGAACAAGAAAGCCAGATAAGGATGGTACTGCGTTGTCTGACCATGTACACATCACAGGACACAATTTTGACCGGAATAGTGGAAAAGCCATGGATTTTGAGATATATGCAGAAGCCTAATTAAATGATTTATACACATAGAAAGGTTTTTAGTTGAGATAAAAAAGTCAATGGCACGAGCGGGATTCGAACCCACGATCTTCGGCTCAATACGCCGCTGCTCTACCACTTGAGCTATCGTGACCTCGCTCCACTCGGACATCAACTTCCTATCTCAACCCCACCTTTTGAGTTTTCCCTCCTTTTTTCAAATTAGGGTTCGAATCCCGCCCATGCCATTGACTTTTTTATCTCAACTAAAAACCTTAATTAATTTTAAGATATTAATTGGTCAAGCGGACCACGAAATTAGTGAATTTAAGAAATTATACGCATAGAGTTGAAAGTACTTGCGGTTATAGGAAAGTCATAAATACTTGAATGTTATGATAAAGCACAATATTAAATTATTCGAACTAGTCTATTTGTGTAATACTACTACATCGATCCTCAATTAGTTCTACTATATGTGTAAATGTTGTGTTGAAAGTGAATGTATTTATTAGCGTAAATGTGTAATTTGAGACGGTCGATGACGTAATATCGAGTACCCCATCTACCCTCAATTAGGTCAGTTGTATAATTTAAAGGGTGATGGAGATATATCTCATACTCCAGTACACAATTGAATGAATGGTACGTAAATACGAGTGAATATATTTAGAAATAAAAGTGAGTACGAATAGGTTTTGAACTGCTTGCGTTGGGTGCTAAATTGACTTAGCTGTTGACAGCACCCCCACTCCGCGAGCACAACCTTGTTGGCTGGACGGATGAGACTGCCAGCAGTTTACTGTAAATAGCAGCAGCTGGAATTGTCATTGTATAGTCTATATAAATCCAAATCCAAATATATATATTGGCAAGTGGCAGCAAGCAGCTGGTGGGCTACAGTATGTACTATCTGGTAGGTAATAGGATGATGGAGTCATCCTTTCACAGCCCCTACACTATGGGCCCAATTGGTCACCAAGATGGGCACCATGACCATGGCCTTTGCTCCACACACTGGCCCAAGAGATGGTCCAATACATTGCCCAAAATTGAACCGGCATGGCCTCAATGGCCTATAGTAGCTTATTTTTTCATGCGCAGTGGATGTCGAGGTCGAGCACATCGCTACTACAACTGTTTGACCTCGGGAACGTAAGAAAGAGGCTTTACAGAAAAACCAACAAAGAAGAGATCGATTATTAAAATATTTATTTGCAATGTCCGATTGTGAACATAAGTGGGAAATTTTATCTGTCTTTTATTTACCTCTAATTCTTTAAAACGGGCTAAATATTGTTGATAATCAATGAAGGATTGTCTAATAGATAGTTAAAAATATTAACGGTGGCCACTTTTTGCCTTTCAATGCCTTGAAATATACAACAAAATGCGAGTGTCCAGTTTTTTTGTCTTTGAGTGTGTGGAGACCATTTTGGCCTTAAAAAAGTGAACCTTCCTAGACTGCTTTTTAGAAGTTAATAAACAAGTATCTTTTCGACCGAACACGTGGTGCTTATTGTACCTCCTAGTGTTTAAACCAAATTGGTGACCCCGACGATTTCGTAAGCGGAATCGGTAAGCAAAGCTTTCATTTCGGGTTGGACGGCAAGGTTTGGTATTCCTTATAAATTGACAACAGACTTAGGTCGTCAATTCCAAAGTGAGTTATTCATTTCTTTAAAGCGTTTACTCGGCATTTCTTCGTCCAACACTACAGCATATCATCCTCAGTCGAATGGTTTACAAGAACGTCACCACCGAACAATAAAAGCAGCACTGACAAGCCACCTACAGTCATCGATATCATGAATCGATGCTTTGCCCTGGGTGTTACTAGGAATGAGGTGCGTGTTTAAAGAAGATTTTCAAGCTACTCCATCACAATTGGTCTATGGGTGCAATCTTAGGCTCCCAGGAGAATTTTTTCATGATGCTGACACTCACGCACCTAATAATTTCGCTCAACAGCTACAAGACATCATGCGTAAGCTGCGTCCATCTCCAACATCACTACATGCTAAGCAAAAACCTTTTGTACATCCGGGGCTCAGCTCTGCCAGCCATGCGTTCGTCCGAAAACACCGTGAGACCACCCTTAGAACCACCTTTCGACGGACCCTTCGAAGTCAAAAACAAATATCAAAAATTTTTCTACATCAGCATGAATGGAGTTTCTAAGAGAATCGATCGCATTAAACCGGCTTTTGTGGACGCAACGTCTGGGCAACAGCGGACTTCAAGTTCATCAGGTCCGCAGGATTCAACAAGCAGAAATGAAAACCAGAAGAACATCAACGAGACAGACAAGGAAGAAGATGAAATGAACAAACATACAACCTTGGAAGAGGGCAACCTGATGACACGATCGGGTCGGAGAGTGCACTTTCCAAAGCGTTTCCTTGATCAGATTGGTTTTTAACTGTACATACCTATATGATTATGTTTCAATTATAATACATGTAAATTAAAAAATGGGCATTGTGCCTTTTGTACGTAGCTTATTAAATTTTATTTTGTTGTCAACGTTTCATAAGTTAATATTTTGTGTTTTGTTTTGTTTCTTTCTTTTAGGAAGGGAGGTAGTGTGGCGACCATTTTGGCAACACTGCCCTAAAAAAGTGAACCTTCCTAGACTTCTTTTTAGAAGTTAATATACAAGTATCTTTTCGGCCGAACACGTGTTGCTTATTGTACCTCCTAGTGTATAAACCAAAAGTGTATTAATATTTTATCATGCGGTATTTTGAAAAAACGGTATAAAAGCGACACGAAAACGCATAAATATAATTAAATGTGTTGTTAAGAACTAAAGTTTTGTAACATTTCCAGGAGTATTAAGTCTGAAACAATGGCAGGTGAGAAATTAACAATACCTACCCACAAGTCTGCCGTACCTCTGGAACATCCGTTCCACGTCAGTTTTGCTGCATTGAAAAGTGTTCAAGTTGCCGACGAATACACGCGAATTGACGGCCTGGGGGTCTTGCGAGTTGGTCTGGTTTCCCACTTTGCTCATCTTCATCCTGAAAAAGAACATAAGAAATTAGAGAAAATGGGCCCATTAGGGTGTGGTGGCAAAGTCGGGATTCGGTCGGGTAGCAAGGCGGCCAGTTAATCCAATAAATCTTTAGTCCATTACCGTCGACTAACTATTCCAAGCCGCATTAGCAGATCTAAATCTCTTATTCAATTTTCTAGACGGAAAGTATCGGAAAACAGGGTCGAAACCACAGCGGTAATCATATTGTCACAATTTAATATATTATTGTTTTTAACTAATTCCCTCTAATTTCATTTATTTATTTTAATTTCAAAAACACATTATTCAACTTGTGCATTATTAATATACATTCTGACCACAAAATTATTATGAGAAATGAATAAAATTATAGCCAATGGGCAATTTTTGTTATTTTTGAAATGAATTATTAAGTAAGAAATCGACGTTTAAATTTATTCTGAAAGGCCCGATTTTAAATACTTATTTCATCCCCTAATAAAAGATACACTCAAAATGAAAAATCTGGCGGAAGAACTCTTTTCATTACATGCAGTACCTTCATGGAGATGTGGAAGAAAGGGGGAAGGGCCCGGAAACAAATTCAAATACCATGTTTTTATTATTCCGCTCCAGGGTGGATTTAATCGGCAGTGTATGAGAGAAGAGGGTTTTCGGGTAGAAGCCTGGCCCTTTGTTTTGACGCCCATTGTACAAAAAGTTTTGTTTTAATCCTCTTCCGGAGCCAAATAGCGAAACGTTCAAACCTTTCCCCGACAGGATAACGATCAATTTATTACTATTCGACCAAATCATAACGATAATTTAACATTAAAATTGGTAGATTTTGCGTTCAGCGTTCTGTTAATTAATCATAAAACAATCTTCTATTGCTCTTCAAATTATATAATTATGTTTTTACTAGATGATTTCAAATTTATTTCAATATCTACTTAGTCCCGAGGGTTTACCAAAACATCTTGAATATTGTTTTGTCCTGACGATGGCCTTAAAATAGGTCGAAAGCCTGGCAGTATCAATAACAATTGATAGGTAAAAAAAGCTTTAACGAAATCATCAAATATTGATGTTTTAGTAGAATTAAATGGCTTTTTGATATTCTCGTCTCTTAGGCGGACCCNACCGAACCCCGTCAGATCCCATGAGTGAGGCGTGAGGCGGTCCCAGAACCGGCGTTTTTCCTCTACTGATATTGAAGTTTGTGCAATATTTTGTGCAACCACGAGCATGCGAACTGTACCACTTGTTGATACTTCACAAACTGACTGGTATTGCGCAATAATGCCAACAGATGGTGCAATATTTTCCATGTTGTACAATATATTTTCAACTTTTCGTCAATCATGAAATGTATTGCACAAACTTTCAATATCGTCTACACACGATCAATTAAATTGCTCAACCCAAAATATTGTGCAATAATATTGATCGTCTGTGGGCCGCTTTAGTATTGAAGCGTGCTCAATGATTGAACAAGGGTGGCACATTATGCCCGGGAGTGGTGAACAAATTGAAAAGGTGAGCCTAGCGTTCTCGAGCATACATAACCTTTCTCAATGAAGGTCCCACGGCATATTTCTAAAAGACCTTTCCTAACTCTTGGATGCAAGGGGGTATCCAGGCAAAGCATGTTGTAGTCTTGAGAGCTTGGTTAACTCTCTAAAGCACAAGGTGTATTCGCGTGTTTCTTACATGTCAGCAGGCGGCTGGGGCTAAATCATTAGCACAATGGTTACGGTACTAGATCAGGGAGGGTGCATAACCAACTCAACCACGGGGTAGAGCAATGTTCCAAGTTGAACAAAGCACTATGTGGGATGGAATAGGAGTGGCTTAGTGGTGAGATTCTTGGCGGGTACTTAGAGTTGAGCCTGTTATTCGGTGGTTTTCGGCTTACTTTAACGAAGTACTGTTCTAGGGGTGGTTAGAAATTCCACAATAAACATTAACCACGGCCGGAGCGGATCCGGAGGTTTTTACGCTGGAGCCCAAACACTCAGGGAGATACCTTCCCTATCTAAGAGTATACCTGGAAAACTACGTGATACATTTCATACATAATGACTGGTTGTCCAAAGGCTGTAGCGCACACTGTTGACCCACCCCTCGTAAGAGGCAAGAGGGAGAAGATACCGGTAGTCATTAGGTACCGTGGAGGCTTCTACACCGAACCTTACGAGAATTACCAAGCCCACACGTACGCAGAGGTGCGTCGCTCCTATCTTGAGAAATTTAAAGTCTGAAAAGACCACGTGCTAGGTGCAGACGATAAAGAACCTCATTGTCTTTCTGAAGACAAGGCTATCCCCAAAGAGAACCAAATGATTAAACAAAAGTTTGAGCGATTTAAATTTTTATTGCATCGCGTAAGTTAATATTGCGCAATATTTTTACTTTATGTCTAGCATTCGAAGGACGAGGACGACTAATGCGTTTTTTAATCGACAAAATATCTAAGAAACCGTCAACAATTAAAGAAACGGAATTAATGGTTGTTTTTTGTCTTATCTTGAACCACTCTTTCAACCTGCGGTGTTTTAGTTTTTACATTTAAGCACCAACGCGATAGCTGCAGTCAAATCTTGGACTGACATCTTGCAACACCAGGCCTTGCTCACGCAAAAACATTGCAGCTTATCGGCCGGTCAATATTGCTGATAAATTGTAGCCATGATAGCATCAAATACTCTTGTACAATAAAATTATTGTGCAATATTTTTTTGTAGATTTCGGGTCCGCCTTTCAGATAAATGACCAAACTGTCGATTAAACTCTAAAAAATCTCTCCCGTCTAGTTTAATAAATTAATATTTATACAAAACACCATATAATAATGAGATTATAATAAGCAGACCGAGCTGCGAAACAAGCTGCAACGATGTCTCATGACCCGGAGGCTCCTGAGAGCCCATCGCATGGCAAAAATTCTTTTAAAAATTATGTGTGGTGTTTAGTGACCGTTACTTAAAGATTATTTGGAGATCGTGAAATGCGGTCTGGTGTAACGTAGTTTTAAAAAAACATTTTCTTTATCGTTCCAACGTTTCGATCTTTATTGAGATCATCTTCAGGGCTCAAAATGTTTGTTTTCTGCGTAATTGTGTCATTGTTGTGTGTCGTGTCACGGCAACCTCAACACGACATAATTGCGCAGAAAACAAATCCTTTCATCTCTGAAGATGATCTCAATAAAGTTCGAAACCTGGCACGATAAAGAAAATGTTTTTTTCTAAAACTGTCGTCACTCCGGACCGCATCTCACAACCTCCAAATAATAATTAAAAAATTATGTTTGGTAGGTTACCAAAACTACTGCGATTTTAGGATTTAAATTGTCAGGAGAAGCCATGGCCGTATAAAAGAGCTCAGTGTCCTCCCCCCCCCCAGTTTATTTCCGATCATATAGTATAAATGTATGTATTTATGTGTGATATTACTGTGTACATAGTATGGGTGGGTAGGTCTTTACATTGCACCATCGGACCCACCAGCAAAGGTTATATATTCATAACCGACCTGAATGTTCATTCAAACTCAACTAGCTCAATATCGCAACAAAAGGTTACACTTCAAACTATCCCACCATCTGAACCTTTCCGTCAAAAACCTGTCATCCACCTAACAATCCTCACTGGTGACTGAAACGTCGGTGGCTTCACGACAAGCTCACTTCTTGGCATCGCCCTCCTAAGATGGAGCTCATCTCACTGATCATATTGATTTAATAACGTCTTCCATCACTAGATGGTTGGATTTATTTCCACGTTGTTGTATACATGTATGTATGTTTTACTTGTTGCTTCGAACGAATTAAAAAAAAATATACTTATTTCGAATTTTGCGTAGTTGCTAGGTAACGGCAAGACAGCAAGGGATGCCGAGGAATTCTAGAATTGGTCAATGGGAATGAGATATGAAATTCTGCGAATAGAATGCACAGGAATATCACCCCGGTTATTACCTTATAAGAATGTTAGATTTACGAGATGAAAAGATTGGTCGATTGATTCCCGGACGGCGTTTTGATAATGATCTCGGCACGAACACGTTTCTGATAAACCTTTAACCACATTCATAGAAACTACACCCCAAGATATCTATTTACAAAATGTATAAATTGAAAATTAAACTTTTGAACTTTACTGTCTTAGATATGTCATTCAATAAAAATGCCCAACAATTACCAATAAAATTAAATGAACACGTATTATTAATATATTAATATAACTGACAGACAAAAAAGTCCACTCAATTGATTTTCTTCATTTTCTCGATCAAAGAAAATTCTGCCCTTAATCTGTTTTATTGATTTTATTAGTAAATATTAGTTTATACTATGTCTTAAATTCGGAATCAGAATCGTTAATCCAAAACAACGTTAAAGTATTTTTCAATAAATTCACTAATTTCGTGGTCCGCTTGAACAATTAATATATTACAATTAATTAGGGTTTTTAGTTGAGATACAAAAGTCAATGGCACGAGCGGGATTCGAACCCACGATCTTTGGCTAGATATACCACTTGAGCTATCGTGACCTCGATCCACTCGGACACTAACTTCTCATCTCAACCCCACCTTTTGAATTTTCCCTCCTTTTTGCCATTTTTCAAATGTCGTGTAATCGGATTGGATTCTCGGCGATAAATGAAATGGCGACGGAGAGCTTTAGTGAAGTATACTTCATTTTTAATTCATTAAATTCACTAAGTTCGTGGTCCGCTTGACCAATTAATATATTACAATTAATTAAGGTTTTTAGTACCTCAACTTTTGAATTTTCCCTCCTTTTTGCCATTTTTCATTTGTCGTCGAGAATCCAATCCGATTACATGACATTTGAAAAATGGCAAAAAGGAGGGAAATTTCAAAAGTTGCGGTTGAGATCGGAAGTTAGTGTCCGAGTGGATCGAGGTCACGATAGCTCAAGTGGTAGAGCAGCGGCGTATCTAGCCGAAGATCGTGGGTTCGAATCCCGCTCGTGCCATTGACTTTTTTATCTCA